GAGGGTTTTTCCCTGGAGCTGTTTTGTTTGGCGTTTGTAGTTCTAAAAATAAAGTTCGTTTCTTTTGACAAGTGGCTCCTGAATCGTGCCCAGCCAGACTGCGGCATTCCGGGACCCAGGGGATGGAGGTCTGTATGCACAGATCCATCTCTAGCTGATCTGGGTAGAAAACATTCCCACGGGAGTGTCCCCTGGAGAGGCAGCCAGGATGGTCAGGGGGAGCTGTTGTCCTACATGGAAGGCAGACTCTTTGCAGAACTCCCTGGAGACCGCCAAAGAGATTCTGGTTCCTTCTGCCTCCTTGAAGGGAGAGAGCAAGGAAACCCACACCACCCACCGTGGTAGATCTCTGGTCTGAGGTTGGCGGAGTCATCTGGAGATGCCCAGAACGGACCAGAACAAATACCCACGTTGGGGACTTCCCCAAAAAAGTCTGAGAACTTTACCCCTTGAATGACCAATATGTCCATTCCCTTAAGTGCTATCCTGGGCTGCATCAAATGACTCCCCCCCCCCCTGGCTTCTCTGGGTTCTATTTGCTGCTGCTTCCAAAGAGAAAAAGTTCATCGGATGGGACTTCACACCAATTAACTGGATTAACATTAATCATGCCTTCAAGAACCACATCTTCAGAGAGAGTCACATTCTGAGGCTCTGGGTATCTGGATCATCAACATATGCGATTCAGGGAGGGGACTCAATTCAGCTGGTGACATAAACGAGTCTCCTGCTGAAGACAGACTCCCAGGGAATAGTGACCGAAGGGACACACACACACATAACCTTTTCATTGCTATCGTCGGATTATATCACAGAAGGGCTGCTGAAGTCCCGCCATCACAAGAGATCTCTGTTTGTAGCTGCTTCTCTGCAGCCAAGATCCCCTGGGTGTTGGCAAGGAAGGGAATAAAATTATCCTTGTGGCAAATAAAATCACTCTGTTCTTATTTTTTTATTTCCAGTTTCCCCAACGGACAAGCTTGCATCACCTCTCAGTTGATTTCCATCCAATTAGATTTTTTTTTCTTCTTCCCTGAACCATATGCAGATTGGGGTCTGTGATGGGCTCTCTTGCACCCTGTGGTCTCCAAGCATTTGAGAGGAACCCCGGGGTGGGACAATGCAGGGGGAAATGAGGGTCAGGTCACTGACATCCGGAAGCCCACCCTGTATTAGTGTGGATCCAGAGGGATAATTCCCAAAGTCTGAGCCCTGAGCACACTGGAGCGTCTACTTTTATACATAAGCAAGTTCGAGGCTCATCAGGGTCACCGAGTTGGGGCCATACCATTGGGGACTGGATTGCATTTATGTATACATCTCACAAGTCCTGCTTTTCTGAATAATTGTCACTTTGCAAGTGGGAAGAGCGTAAGGAACGTTGCAAGTGTCTCGTGATCTGGCGGAGGTGCTTTGGCTTTGCAACCAGATACAGCTCATCCTGAATCCCAACCCCAGCTGCTTATTAGTTGTGGGACTTTGTCCACAGAAGGAAACAGATTTTACAAAGGGCTGAATAAGAAGTTTGTCTTTAGTGCCCCCTGGCACATAAAGGGGTTAAACCAAGGCTTACATCTTGGATGTAAGGGGACCCCCCAGTTCTCAAATTTGGAACTTGGCTGCTGTGTTCAGATATGCTGGAGAGAGAGTCAGATTTGAGGGTGTCATTCAAAAAATAAACAAATACTTCATTACTAGTACTTAGTCACATACAGGTAATATTATGGCTCTATGGGGTTATGCTATTAAAATCAATTTCAACTGTTTCTTTTTTTATACATTTTTATTTTTTTTTT